CTTCCTTCTCCAATAAGTTCTTTGAAATATGAACCCTATTTCACAAAGCCCATTCGGTTTATTATCTTGTTTGTTTATTGACTATATTTTAAAAGATATAAAAGGAAATTATCTTATGAAAGATGGTTGACTTTAATGCTGCAGCCTCTGAGTTTCAAGACTCTCATCTCACAGAGGAATAATGCAGTGAATGCTGGATTCTGGTCACTTCTCTGTGTCTCTGCTGTGGAAGGTGACCGTATCAATTTGCATTTACCATGGCATCAAAGGAAAGGTCAAGGCCACTAAGTGTAATTTGCACATGGTGTTAGATTGTTAAACAGGGACTCCTAAAATGAAGCAAATCTTCCGTCTTAATTACATTTTCCAAAAATCGAAAGTTGTTGTATGTTGTTCATTGCTACAAGAAAATATACTTTTCTTATGTCAAATACATCCACTTAATTATGGTTAGCCTTGTCAAAAGAAGACTGACTTCTCAGTCTTTTGTAATTACAGCTGCTCTGATCTATTTTAGCTGGCTGCACAGGCAAGTCACTGAACTGCAGTGTATGGAGGGTAAAACCCTCCAGATTCAGTAAGATCTGAGTCCAGCGTCAGATCCAACACACTGACTATATTTTGGGATCTGGATATTTAGGTCTGATATTCTTGCTTTTCCATGTGCTGCACATTGCACATTTAATTGAAAACTGGTAAAACACATTGGATCAGATGCTATGGGTACAAAATATTGCTTGAAAATATTAAAGGTTAAAACTGGTGCTTCATTTTTGTAGTAGAAGATTTTGGTGATATTTACAAAAAAAGTAAAATAAAAAAAAAATTCCCTATTCACTGATTCTTACTAATGACATTACTAGCAAGACAAAAATACAAAAAAATGCAGATCCAAGGTTTTTGCATAGCAGGTACCGCTTACATCCTCCAGGGTTTCAGAAAATATATGCCAGGCAAATGTCTACCTTTGTGTTGCATCATCACCTCTGTAGTATCAGATGGAATAAGTTTTTGTAAAAACAATGTTTTCCCTGCACTCAGCTCATTTAAAATTTGAGGATTTTTTTGTTGTTGTTTTTTTTGATGTTCTGATGAGCCAAGGTATTTTATTTGTTGAAGACACAAATACAATTCAGATCCGTTATGTTGGACTCTATGGTCAGGTTGTTGTGCAGGATGTGCAGAGTGTAATTTGACTCCGTCTTTCAGAACTAAATAGGATCTTGATCAAAAACATTTGAGTTGTTGGATATATTTCTCCTGAAGTTTCAGACACTGTTGAGTGTAATTTTTTTACTTCGTCCAATTTCATGAGGCACCC